CATGGAATTTAATTACGGGGTTTTTTCATTACAAATAAATTTTAATTGATCGCTTAGTTTTTATTGAAGTGCTTATTAAGAGGCATCTGTCCTTTAAAAAATTTATGTTTTCTTTCTCCTGAAGCATATTCTTAAGTATTTAAAAAAAAAAAAAAAATCCTAATTTGCTTCATCTCCCTAGAAGAGCCTAAAGTCTCAAGCAAAAGAAAGTCTACAAATGTCCACATCTTCTTGGTGCAACAGCCCAGCCATTAAAGTGCAGAAGAAATTATCTATCAATGCCAACTGTAGAGTAAATAAGCCTAAGAAAGAAATCATTAACAGTGTTTAAGAGCACACAAACCTTTCCTTTGCCCCAGAAAATCTCACAATTCTAGGGTCTCGGTATTTATTGTGTTAACTTTGAATTTGCTGTACCTGCACACTAAAGCAGAAAAAACTCTACTGAAAATTTAGACTCCATCAACCTCAATACTCTTGTGCTCTTTGTTAGGTCTCTAATCTTCCTAGGAATAATGACAAAACCAAAACCATTTTACATGGGGGTTTGCGGCTGATCTGTTAGTCTGACTTCTATGAAAACTCACCTTGTATTTGTGAGTTAAGTTTTTATGGAATGCAGAGGATGACAGGTAACCTGTATTGTATTCGTGATGCTGGCAATCAGATGTCATGTTCATAAGGCCCCTGAAAGAAGATTTACATCCAGTACCACCTTTTCATTTTTGTCTGCACATCTCATTCTGTGTTTGCAGTATTTTGTCTGTTAAATTGTTTTCAACATCTGAGCTCAAATACTCTGCTGCAAGATTGAAGGTGACACTCTCTAAAGCAATTTCAATGGGCCTCAATATCCTAGGTGCTCAAAAGAAAATAATTAAATGGATGAAATTGATATTGTGGTATTTGGTGGACTATTTGCTTGTTTGTTGCTTGCATAGAGACTTCTGTAAATACATATTCCTTATTATCTGCATTACAGGAGTATCCAAAGTCTCAGGCAGATTTGGGTTTCTCTGTGCAGACCGAAAAATGCATTTCCTGCCCTGTCATTGCCAGCATTGGCAATGATCCTGCAATGAGTTCCATGTGTGCCAACACCAGAACATTTACAGATGCCATAGTAAAGCTGCAGACTATTAGGAACTAAAAAAAAATATATAAACATTTTCCATATACAGTTATACAGCTGTTGATTGATAATGATACCCTGGTCACACAGTTATACAGCTGTTGATTGATAATGATACCCTGGTCACTAATGAATTCGGCTGGACCAAAACTGCCAACCTAGATATGAACAGAGACTTCCTCAAATCTGGAGAGACAGGTGACAAATTTCTTCCTAGGATCACAATAATACTGAACAGTAACACGTTAAGAGCCCATGGTAACTATGTGGTAAAACTATGAAATCAGTTGCACAGCTTGGTATCTGAGCAATGAGGTTTCATTTCCGATAGCTTCGGTGCTTTAGTCTCCCTTTTACTTACAGATGCAGTGACACAAAGTTTTGATTAAAAGGAATTTCCTTCTGCTGCACCTCAGTCACTTATTTTTAGTCTGGTGCTGACACATGAAACATTTCTAAGTGCATCAAACAAATGCTTCCTTTTGAGCAATCTAACACAAGTTTTGATTAAAAGGAATTTCCTTCTGCTGCATCTCAGTCACTTATTTTTAGAAGTCTGGTGCTGACACATGAAATATTTCTAAGTGCATCAAATAAATGCTTCCTTTTGAGCAATCTAACATGACACAGCTCCTTCCAGATCATCACATGCAGCCTGACATACTCCACCCGAGCTCCAAGCCTGCTAGGGAAACACTTCAAGGGATACCTCCAGCAGACTGGGAATAAGCAAAGTCCCTTCTGGATCACCTACATATAAATACAGATCTATATTATCTTCATGGATAGAAAGACAAAAAAGGAAAAAATAACATTTTAGCATGGACATTTCCCAAGTGTGACCATGCACAACCCATATATCATTCAATGTGAACCTAAAGAGTTGCTTATTCCTTGTTTGCAACCTCTGCCTTGACACTTGACCCAAAATTCTGGATTTGTACCTTAAACTCTGATGTTACCTAGCGGTTGGTGAGAAAAAAAAGAGTTTGTGAATTGAGCCTGAAGCCTCAGACCAACTCAGTGTAATTCAGGAAAGATATTTATATGCCCTCTCTGAGGACTGGTCTAGCTTTCCTCTGCTCCCAGTCCTTGCACAAAACCAGCGAGGCTATACAATCACTAGGATATAACTGGAGGCAAAGAAAGGGTGATAAAACTGAAGCTCTTAAGATAGACATCTATAACTATGAACCTAATGCTGAAGCCTTTTCTCGTGTGCCCAGTCATAGTGGAATCAAAAGTGTTACTTATACAAGTTAGGACTCCAGGATTGAGGTTATGAGGATTATCCTGCTCTGGGATGCTCTGGGTAATACCTTGTTTTACAGGTATGCTCCTTTACATCACCATTATTCAATGTAAATATGTAGAAAAATCAGACTCTGTTAATTAGGATTCACAAAAGCATACGCAGAGACAGAAAGATGAATGCAGTATGAATAAAATACGATGTGAAGAAAATGGTCTCTGACCATTCTTTTGTGCTTGCACTGACATTGATTTAACTGTTTTTTCGTACTTGAATTTAAAATAAAGTCTATTATAAAAAAGATTTAATTGCGATAAGGTATATAATTATCTTCAGAGGTTTACATGGCATAGAGGTGGGTTTGAGCTGAAATTCTGGACTCTGTTCACACAGGTGTGTGGGAGGCCAACTCTCGACCTCTCTACAGCTTTGTCAGTGACAGCACAAGGTTAGCAATCTGCACTGCATTCAAAAGAGCTGAAAAAATCAAATCCATGTGATTTACTGGCACCATAAAAAAATTAAGGTGACTTATTAGCAAATATGCCTAATATTATAGTACTTAGTGCAATGTAGTGTCATGACAAGGATCCTCAAACTGTTCTTCAGTTAAAATGAATTTATGGATCAGTCCCAAATTACTCTCCAACAGGACTCTATCATTCATTTTAATTATGAACCAAATCCTGTATTCCTTACTACCCCGACAAACAAGAAGTCAGGAACTATTTTAGCTGTATACGGAATGAATACTACTCTGATTCATATCCTTTGAAGTAAAAAGGCAAGAAATTCCTTCAGGTAGTCTATTCCAGTTAGGAAAATTAACTCTTCTTTATTCTAGATGACAAGCTGACCACGCGCCAGCAGGGTACCCTTGTTGCCAAGAAAGCCAATGGCACCCTGGGGCGCATTAAGAGGAGTGTGGCCAGCAGGTTGAGGGAGCTTATCCTCCCCCTCTACTCTGCCCTGGTGAGACACCACCTGGAGTACTGCATCCAGTTCTGGGCTCCCTGGTTCAAGAAAGACGAGGAACTCCTAGAAAGAGTCCAGAGGAGGGCTACAAAGATGATGAGGGGACTGGAGCATCTCCCCTATGAGAAAAGGCTGAGGGAGCTGGGCTGGTTTAGCCTGAAGAAGAGAAGACTGAGAGGGGACCTCATCAACACATACAAATATCTTAAGGGTGGAAGTCACGAGGACAGAGCCAGACTCTTCTCAGTGGTGCCCAGCGACAGGACAAGGGGCAATGGGCACAAACTGAAACACAAGAGGTTTCAGTTGAATATGAGGAAAAACTTCTTTACTTTGAGGGTGACAGAGCCCTGGAACAGGCTGCCCAGGGGGGTTGTGCAGTCTCCTTCTCTGGAGATATTCAAAACTTGCCTGGACGAAGTCCTGTGCAACCTGCTCTAGGTGAGCCTGCTTTAGCAGGAGGGTTGGACTAGGTGATCTCCAGAGGTCCCTTCCAACCCCTGCCATTCTGTGCGATCTTGTGGAAACAGTCAGGAATAATGCTAAATTTATACAATTACTCCACTGTACTATGTTCTCTTATCATCATACCTTTTTACAAACAGCCACAGAAGCAGAGTTAAACAGACTTACGGGCCTTAACTACAAAGGACAATCAAGCCATTGCAAATCCTTTACACAGCATCGGAAGCTACAAAAGTAATTCAGCATGGCCTAACAGCCTTGCTAAGCCTTTGTTTCCATTTAAATATAGAAATACAATTGAGAAAGAGACGTAAATTTGGCTGAAAACAGAATATGCCTCACTATATTTGAAGTATGTAGTACTTAAATCTAGGAATTTATATGAGAATTCATTTGTCAAACTTATGAGCACTCATTATTTTTGTTCTGAAAACTCGCAGTCATAGTAATTCCTCTCATAGAATTTATCATGTATCTTCTGGTTTAGACGACAACTATCTATTGCAACTGCAATACATACCCATTACTTTCATAAAGTGTAGGATGTTGCATGTCTAACTTTAGATAGGCAGATTTCATTAATTGTAAAATAATCTAAAAAAGAACATTAGTTTACCAGCTTAATTGGTGTTAATATCTGAATTACATAGTAATTATGAAAAGAGAAAATGTTAAGATACGGCTTTACAACAGAAACCTAACAGTTCATTTAGACACTGGAAACCAACATTCACTTTCTTAACGATTTTTGGTGCATTTCAAAGCATGCCTCTTGGTCTAGTGCTCTAAAGCTCCTCTTGCACACGTGGCTGCCACCAGTAACTGCTTTTCTGTATCACATTTACAACCAGACTGCATTCAGTTATTTGCATGCTACTTTGTGGACATGTACATAAAGCATTGACAAAGCCTCTGAAAACAAAAAGTGCAAAAAGAAAAAAATGCAAAGGTGCCATCCAACCACAAAGGAATACCAAAATGTGACAGCAGTCAAGCAGAATGACACAACCTCAATGAATCCAGCCCACGCCGCTTTACTGTACATAAAGTGATTATCTGTTAAAGACTGGTGGTTCATTCAAGACAAGGGGGCAGTCTTGGTCCAACAGCCTGTCCTGCAAGAACCACTGCCTAGCAGCAGTAACTGCATGGACAGAGACTCTTCCACCCACTCACCTCCAGAAGTGACCTCTTCAGAACTGGGTTGAGGAACATTGGCAGGACAATGTGGGGAAGCTTGCATTGCTGCTGCTGCCCTTGCTATACCTGTCCTGTGGAGAAATAGAGGACTTAATTTCCAGGGCTGTCGGTCAGTACCTTCCACATTACAAGTGAAGGAAAAAGAAATTAATTTGACAATGCCTGCTTCAAGTGAGTACATTTTGGGGGGCGGTGAACAACCCCCATTTTCTATTGAAGTATTTGGGTTACTTTCACATCTTCTGTGGAGCTCCATTTGTCTGCCCGGCCAGCAAGCTGGATTCTTTGGTTCATGAGTTGATGATGCTCTTGCCAGTTACCTATATAGAAAGCTGGGATATGGCCATTGAGAATCAACTTAACCAGACAGCCCAAATAAAATAAATAAGAAAATAATGTTTAAATTAATCTCTCAACTCTGACATGAACGCCTACTTGCCACTGGGTAACTCTCTCCCTTCTGCCTCCCTTTCAAAATGGCAAGTTTCTTAGTCTGCTCTTTACACATTTCCTTTACAGAAACCATTACTACATGAATTACCTAACTGAGAAGCAGTTCTTTCACTTCTCCTGTCCCACCCATTCCATAGAGGCATTTTATTTTACTTCCACATTAATATAAACAGGTTACCACGAGGATCAATCCTAACAAAGACAACTTCCAAAGGAAAAAAGGAAACCTTCCACCATCCTTGTGGTTTCCAGCTAGGACAACAGTTTTCAGCCACCAGTTTTTAGAGTGACACATACAAATGATTTGTATATACCAAAGTGCAGTCCATTAGAGAAAGAGACCAAAAAAACCCTATCTGAAATACATGAATAAATCACTCTTTTGAGTGTGGTGATGAATGCAACGTTTTACAATTTCAAAAACAATTCTGTAAAGCCCTACTCAAACAAGTGTGTTTGCCTCCAAAAGTGATCTCTGTGTATCTTTCAGTAGTACCATGATGTTTTTAGTTGGAGGAAATATCAAGCTTAGACACAGAGGACTGAAAGCTAATGACCAATAATTTTGTTCTGATAGGAGTGTGCACTGAATACTGATGTTTACAGGCAGGAACAATTTCCAATAATTAGTTGGAAACATATCAGCCTTCATTGCATTTGCTTAACTTTGGTCAACAGCAGTGTATCTTTCTGCAAGTGAATTGAGAGGCAAGACCAAGCCTATACATATGAGGTTTAAATATAGTTCAGCACTGCTAAAATGCATGAAAAGCAAGCCAAGAAACATGATGATTATAAAAATATGGCAAAGGAACTTTATAAGGGGAAAAAAACAAACAAACAAACCCAACTTTTATTGTACTAATTACTTAAGCTCAATCTTTCAGCTAGGTGTATGCTAAAGAGTAAATGTAGGGGTACATAGAACTGTTCACTTCTTTGGACAAGACAGACTTATTCATCACTCACTTCCTGAACAAAGGTGCCAGACAGGGCATTTTCTTAATTTTTATTTTGATGTTTTTATTTGCCACTGTATACTGCTTTTCTCTTCACAAAGTTCCCAGTTTCCAACATACTAACCACTTCAAAGCAACAAAACAGTTTGTCTCACTGAATATCTACTATCTTAGAGTATGGTTATGGCTGTCCATGGGCTATGATTATAAACAGATGTTGGCCAAGATACTTGGATGAGGTATCTCCAAGCGAAATAATAACAAATAGTCACATATATAATCCCATATTTAATAAACCCAGTATTTAAATATAAAATAAGATACAGCAGGTTGGATAAAAGACCTAGAATAATGATTAATTGTGCCCCGAGCGCTACAGACAGATGTTCTGTTCACTTTCTAAGACAGTGATTATTCTAAGCATGAACAGGAATTTTTGTAAATCTGCTCCTTTTCTTTATGTGACAACTACTAGGAGTATCAGAAAGAACCAAAATCATCACGGAACCCTGATGACCTTAGGGTTCACATACTGCCTACACCCCTCTCAGAGTCACCAAGAAGCTGCCCCAAAAAGACCATGATACATAGATAACCTAGACATTTCAGTAACAATGCACAGATATCACTGATGCTTTTCTCTCCAGGCAGAGAAAAAAACTCAAACACCTTCAAATGTTTGGAGGTAGTTTCTAGTAATCCTTGGAAGGACTGGCATTAGTGGAAACAGGTTTCACCCAAAACCACAACTGTTAAAGCATCTACCATCCCTCAAATGCAAACTGGTAAAAACTACAACTGGAAAAAAAACCCTACAACTGAAAGCAAGAGCTGAAACAGTCACAGTGTGGACTTTTCTTTGTTTGCTTTAATAGTCTACAAAAAACATTTCACACTTTGACGGTAACCTACTTTTGTTTCAAAAACAAGCCTTAAGAGTTCAAAAACAAGTACATGATGCATTAAATGCTTCGCAGAGCCTTGCCTTTGCTTACATCCTCCTGCTTTTCTCCCCACAAGGTAACTATTGCTTTTAAACCTCCCCTATAGTCTGTGTTGACCTATGTATCCCAAGCACTTCAAAAGGCACTTTAACCATATGGGATACTTCTGAAAGGTAGGATCCCTTTCACTGTCTGTGAGAATAATTAATGGAATACAAAAGAAAATAATTTTACCACATGAGAAACATGTATGTTCCAGCTATCAGTCCAATTAGAACAGAAAGCTCTTCCATGACAGAAAGCACATGCTATTTTTGGGATGAACTGACATCCTGCCACCATATCCAAGCTAGAATACCCCCCCTTCTTCCTTGTTTAAATATTGAGTAGAATCTACTGTGCACACAAGGACCGTAATATAGCTCCTGGACTCAGTTCTCAGATCCACCAGAAATTTTCCTGAGTCCTATCAGGAAATCACTCTTTTTTCTACAGTTCATTTTCCCTTTGAGAAATGACGAAAACCTACCTTTCAGTCTCAATGACTGGAAAAAGAAATGGCGAGAAGTCCATTGTGTGGACCTTTAGATAAATGAATCCACACATCTATGGCTGCAGCAGTGGATTCCTCAGCTCCATTCTTCACCCAGTGACAACATTCAGGTGGTTCTTGAACATAACCTTTCCCGTTTCCTGCACGTGTGAGAGGACAGTACCACTGTGGATTGTAGTCCCACCTGGGTCTCCCCAACCAACATACAGCTGGTGAAGAAAAATGAGCCTGACGATTTGTACCTACAGCTGAATCATGTTAGCCGTCACTGCTAGGGAGCCCATACTAAACTTTCTAGCATCCAGAAATGATGCTGCTAGTGCCTAAACTATTAATGGATAGTCTCCACAGAAAAAGGAAACTACAGTTTCAATATACTATATGCTATGGCTTTGCTAAGAACCTATGATTTTTTTATACAAACTAAAAAGAATATTGATTTCTTTCATGTCCACTGCACACTGAATGCAATTCCCACTGTTGCTGCTTGAGGTATTAGATAAAAATGCCATCTCTCTCACTAAGGGAAGAATCAGCACATCTTTCACGAAGCAGAAATGTCTAAGGCTCTTTGGTATATTTCAAAACAATCTTCACAGCTGGAGGTAGCCAAAAACTTACATTGATTCATGAAAAAATATACAGGAAATTCACTTTGGTGCCATCCAGGCTAGGTGTATATTCACTGTGGACTGCAAGACATTGTCCATCTAAAATTACCTACAGTGATTTAACTAATACTACAAACTCAGTGCTTCACCTCTCAGTTACAAACTAAGGGAAGACAAGGAACGGCTTGTGCTACAGGAGCTACAGAAAATTGTCATCTGTGAGAATCTAGATGGACCCTGTGAAACTTCAGGCGGTTCAACAAGGAGAAGTGCAAAATTCTGCACTTGGGGCAGAGAAGATCCACGCACCTGGCTGAAAAGCAACTGGCAATGTCACAGCCCAGCGGGAAAGGACCTGGGGTCATCCTGGATGCTAGGCTGAATATGAGACAACAGTGGGCTCACATCAGTAAACCACATGCTGGTCTAATACTAGGAAGAATGTGGCCAGCAGAAAGAGAAAGATCGCTCTCTGCTCAGCACTGATGAGGCTACACTTCAAACAGTGTCCAGCTTCTAATCCCTCCCTCCCCCGGCTGAAATGGAGAAATCAGACAAAATCCAGCAAGTCCTAAGCACGTATCAAGTTGGTCAGGTGCTTGGGACGTTTGCAGAGACTGAGGGAGCTGGGCTTGTTAAACCCAGTGAAGAGGAGGCTAAAGGCAATTTAATAGCAGTTTACAACTACTTGTCAGGGGTTACAGAGACAATGGAGCCAAACACTTCTGGGTAGCCGGGTGTAATGTTGTAGGGTCAAAAGCAACTGAGTGGCAACTTAGGGAGTTCAGACTGGCTACTTAGAAAGGCTTTTACTCTTAGGAGGGTAGTGCAGAACTGGAAAGGTTTTCCAGAGAGGTTGTGGCAACTCCATCCTTGGAGGTTTTCAAAACTCGGCTATACAAATCCACAGCTGATTTGATCTATAGTTTTGACAAGGTTGTCCTTCCAGTGGGACACTGGACTACAAACTTGCAGAGGCCCTGTCCCACATACACCGTTTCTATACTTCTAACAAAATGTCAGTTTATAATACATGAAACTCTCTGGTGTTCTGTAGAATCCCTTTGCTAAGCCTTCACTCCTTGCTTGTCTGCCATGATATTTTCAGAGAGAGATGAACTAACAAGCTTTGAGTGTCCAATGCAACGTTGAGATTCTACAGAAACAGTTAAGCAAACAAATGCCTGTTCCAGCCAAAGGGCTGGATCACTGTGCCCCATTCTTTGTCACTAACAACCTGAACAAAGACACAACATTTACAACAAGAAGTGTTCTTCAGAGACCCAGTGCTGGAAAAGGTGGCTAAACTCTTTGCTACAGCTTACTGGATTTGACCACAAGAAGTTGATATGCTCACACAAGTGCCTGAAACAGGTTACAATAAAGTTAAATACAATTTTTAAGACTGATTAATTGAAGTGACTAATTCTGCATTTGGCACACAATTTTTCTTCCCAACAATGCAACTATGCTAATTCTTCAGCCATAATCTATTCCTTGACAGTGGGTTAATCTTTGAGGTAATGCCTCAGCCAAAACACTCTGGAATGCTCTTAACAGTAATCACCGACTACAGGGAGACTCCTCATCAGTTTAAGATTAAGTGGTTACCTTAATGTTCCACACATAACTCAAAAAAAAACCCCCACTGTGTTATTACAACACTACCACAATACAAACATTTTGGAAGCTGTAAAAGCGTAATTTAGGGGGGCAATATGAACCTAACAAATAAA